AGAAGTTACATGGATCCTAATTAGCAGTAGCTGCTTTTTCTCTTTGGAAGACTGCTGAGCAAATTTAATAAATTGCTAGTTTTGTTTTGGAATTTGTTTTTTTTCCTTTAACTAAAAACGTTGTACTTACCTGCTCAGTGCAACAATATCGCACAGAGATGTCCTCCTCGCCTCCATTTTGGCAGTCCCCTGCCAAGTCTATCCGCTCCTCTCTCCCCCAGGCGCCTCCTCGGCAAACTGGTGCTAAGGAGGCACCTGTGCGTGCGACTTCCTGAGCTTGGCTGTGTGCATCCTTAGACACACATGGTGTCATTAAGCCATGGCCCTCACAGGAGGCGTTTGATTGCTAGCAGTGGGAGCCTAAGGCTGCTGCTGTTCCCAATGCCTCCTGTGAGGCCAGGAAACGAGAACGTGTTTGTTTGTTTTTTCTGTAGATATCTTACCCCTCCTATTATGAATAAATTGAGGGGAGGTGTTCTGTAGTTCTTAATCACTACTTGCCCTAGAGTGCATTAAAATGACTTTTCTTCTGTCAGTTGTGGCTGTAGCTCATCCCCAGGCTGAAGCCCAGTGTGTATGGGCGTTCTCATGGGGCAGTTACAGCACAGACTGAACCCCTACCCTCTGTTTAAAGCAATGTGCAGTGTTCCAGCCTGCTGCTCCTTACACGGCACTAACAGTTTGTATATCTTCCTCCTCCGGTTAGCTATACAAGCTATTTAGAAAGAGCGCTATGTGAAGAGCTAGCGGTTTGTAACTCTTCACTGACTCTGGCAGACGTTCCAGGAGGCACGTCCTGGCAACCTAATGTTTTACTAGCTTCCCAGCTTATTTGCTGTATTTCTTTACTCCCCTTTCCTCCAAGAAATCCTCAGTTCCCCGTTCCTTCACCTCAGTAGCTTGGGTTTCCCTATCAACCAGGCAAGGTTTATGTCAGCTTTTTGTCTGGGCTGCAGTAGGTAGGCCCAAAAAAGCTCCTATAGGGATGAGTGAGAGAAGGCATTCATTCATTTGCCTGTCATCTGTGCTGGTCCCTCACTCTGCTGGTCTTCAGCATGCACCTGCTGTTTGGAGAGGAGTAGTGTCAGTTGACTATCCACCTCCTTGCGCCAGCGTGGTTGGAAAGCAGTGGGTCGTTGATTGTACTATATACTTGACAATTGGTACCCTTGCGAGGGTCCTTCTTTTCTAAATGATTGTACTTTTATTTCTTCAAACACGAAAAGTGAAAAACCAATAAAAATTATTGTACAAGAGAGGTTGTGGGGGCTGGGGGCAGCTAGCTATCTGACCACACTGCAATGCAATCTCCTAACCTCAAAATGGGACCAAGTGCGACATGCACTTAGTTGTTTGGGGTAATTTTTATGTATTTTTTTTTTTTAGTGTGTTTTTTGTTTTGTTTTTTTTTAAATCTGATGATACTTTAAGATCTCATGAGCCAGTGAGGTGATGCTAAGCATGTAAAGTTACTTTGCAGCCAGTATTTGAAACTATATTATGCATGGGGATCTGCACAGTGTAGTGCTACCTGTTCAGCTAAAACTATTTTTAAAGCCACTTTTATGCGTTGCAAGCCTGTACCCTAATCTTGTCTTGCTTTCTTCTGTTTTTAGATTTTGCACGGTTTTAAGGAGCAGGTGGGAGAGGAAAATTGGAACCAATTTTCTGAGCAGTTTCCACCTCTGCTGAAGGAACGTCTAGCCGCATTCTATGGCGTGTAATGTCAACTGGGGAAGATCTACACACACCCAGCGTGGGAGGTGAGATGGCGAATGATTAGGCATGGGGGGGGGGGGGGGGGAGTTAAATGGCATCCATTGTACTAAACCATGTCTTTGAAGGCGAGGTGGATGCTGTTTCTTGTTTTGCCAGTATTGGTGGCTTTTTTGTGTAGTAGAAGTCAGAGTAGTGAACGTGTCCTGGCCTAAAACGTTCCGAAGGTAAAACAGTGTTAATGTGTACCAGCATTAGTGTTCATTTTCTTCCCTGAGCTTCTCTGGAGTCTCTTGGATCCTAGGTGCAGTCTAAATGTAAACATGTGGCCTCTACTTCTAAGAGAAACTTCACAGTAGAGTAAGCTGGGTTTTACACCAGCCATAGATGCATCAAATTGTCGCCGGATACGCAGGAACCGGCTGAAGTTTGATCAATGTATGGGCAGGCTGGCTGTATGAAAGTCGTTCCATCAGTTGACTTCAGTACAACCAGCCTGTCAAATTTTTTGCATGCAGTTACTGCCAGCTGCTATTGCCGCTAGCTGTAATCATTGTGTTCTGTCGACTGGAAAGGCTCACCGCCCAACAGTCAGTGTTGATGGGGGAATTTGAGTGATTTTCTTTCCTGCAAATCGAATCCTCTATGGCTTGCCTTAGCACTGTGCCTTTTCTTTCTTTTATGCGTGTACTTTGTTTACATTACAGATTAGAAGGCTGTCAAGTCACTGCAGGAAAGGAGAGCTGAGATGCACAGTCAAATGCAGGACAGGGGCTGAGATGCCAGGTCACTGCTGGGGAAGGAAGGAGGGTTGGGGAGTATAACAGATATATTAGGGGAGTTTAACACCTACAATGAAATGGAGTACTTACTGCTGTAAATCGAGGATGCGTTACTCCACAATGGCTGCAGCAAGCACAGAGGTCTTGGCTTGTCAAATATGTATATGCTTGATTGTCTAGTCTACCACACTGCTTTTCATTGCTGTATATACATTTTTTTTTAATTTTTTTTTTCAGGTTCCTGTTTGGTCCATGAGGTGATTGGGGAGAATGGTGTCCTACGCCCCACACATCAGTCTTTAGCAGGGTTTCAGGGATCAGTATCCAGGGCCAATAACATCCTTCCACTCCAGACTCCATCCACCTGACTCCCAAGGAACCTCAGCGGAGCACAGGAGGACGTGAACACCATCAACATCCTCCCGCCCCCCCAGGGATCTTTTTAGTTTATATGTGGAGCATGATGGGAGGGGAGTTGAGTCTTAGGATTTACAATGTTACCCTTGTAGGGTGGGGGTAGGGGATGTACTGGGGGGCGGAGCTGGTCCCACGTCAGGATCTGTTATTGGGCGGGTAAGAGGGAGAGGAGGGTTGGAGGGTTAGACTAATAGAGTGGGAGGGAGGAGGGGCATCTACAGGTAGAGACATTTGATTGTTCCCCTGCAATTCAGCGCAGGTTAGAGTCAAACATTTAAAAAGAAAAAAAAAAAAATTCACAGAAGAATAGGGTTGCAGCCACAGAACAGAAGGTCGGCCATCTTTTATAGGCCCAGAGTCAGAGAGAATGGGAGAAATGTGAAGCTACGTGCTAGACACTTGGCGGATCTGCTTGCGAGAAGTAGGAAGTGTCTCGTTACTTTGCCAGTTTGCACAAACTTTTACTAGCTGACTACATTTCATCCTTGTTTTCAGTACACAAGTAGATTGGGTCTGTAATTCAAGGTTAATGTGAGAATTTAATGTGCTGCTGCTGTGCTTAAGCCGTTGCTATTGCTTGCACTTTTACTAACAGCCGCCAGGTAAGTGGGGTCTGAAAAGCAGAGCTAGTGAAGGACCCTATAGAGGTCACATTAGAAAATTGCAATCATATTGCACTATATGATTTTTGAGGAAATCAATAAAAAAACATTTTGGTAGGTAATATTGCTGCAAGGTTAAAGCTCTATGTACAAAGGCCTAAAGGCCACGGAGCTTGACACCACAGCACGTCCATTTTGCTTTTATGGCAGTAGCGCAGTAATACTTTTGTTCACTTCATGAGGGAGCAGTGGTTGCTGTGTAGACAGAGCAGGTCTGTGTTGCACTGGGACATAACTTTGTGCAGTTTATGGTCTTTTAAAGTACATTAAAAGAAAACTTTTGCTGATATAAATACAAAGGCTGTAAATGCCCATCTCTTCTGAAAGTGCTGTTTTTTTTACTATCGTTCTGACTGTATAGCTTTAATAGGTTATGAGCAAGCTTGCTCATCTGTAGTTTGTACTAAACTTACTGCACGCTTGGTCCTGGTCAGCAACTCTAAAATTATTAAAGGCCATGCTTTTAAGGAGGTAATCGCCAAAGGCAACAGTCGAATTTGTTCAGACTGTTTTAAAGCAGAACTCCGGGCAGAAATTTTATGACCTCTCGGTATTTTGGTTGATTTCATGCCTCACTGCAGTATGCTTGTTTTTTTTTCCCGTGATCTTTCATCTGTGAGAAATCCATTGTGCATTATTTGAATCAGGGCTAAATTCCCTGTGACATCTGTGTTGTAAGACTGCACAGCAACGTAGTTCTGTCTCACTGTAGTGGGCGGACCTGGGTGTCCAAGACTCATGGCCTGAACAGCCCACTGATGCAGCTTCATTTGATTGACGTGGCAGGATGCTCCTGGACTCTCCTGCCTTCTATGATCTCGCACACTGACAGGCCAGGAGTCCCCTTGTCTGTCATAACTCTCCACAGAGATTTAACAGAAAGGGAAGGGGCATAGCTAGAGGTTCACAGGTGGTCATTCAATGCAGTAATTACATAATAATTGTATCTGCCCACATTCATACCTACTGATTACTATGCCCACTGCATGATGGGAACTGTAGTTTATAATGGGTGCAGTGTACGAAAGCGGGATATGATGTGCATGCCTGGATTTATACCTCCTCCTGTAGCCGGCTAAAGCTATTTTTTTTTTTAAAAACTGTAGAGATGATGTCACAGAAATTACAATCTATTTTTCTGCTGAACAGTGAGGTTTATAAACTACCTACTTAATATTTCTACTTTTTTAGATCAGGTCAGTGTACAGATTACTCAATTTGTTCTGCATCCCGGAGTCGAGCTTTAAGCATTCGATCAGTCAGTCTCTCTTCTGTTCAGTTTTTCTATCTATACATTTTCTCTGGAGATGCAGTAAATAAAAAAAAAAAAAAAAAAAGCAAACTGCTCAAATGTAAAGGGCCCAAAGGCAATGGGATGATTTGGTGAAGAAATACAAACAGTGACCCCTTTCCTTAGAACAGACAGAAGCAGAGATGACTGCTGTATGGTTGGTATAGGTCAGGGGTGGGCAACTGTGGCCCTCCCAGCTGTTGTAGAACTACAAGTCCCATGAGGCATTGCAAAATTGACAGTTACAAGCATGACTCCCAAAGGCAGAGGCATGATGGGACTTGTAGTTCACAAACAGCTGGAGGGCCACAGTTGCCCTCCCCTGGTATAGGTTGTGTTGTGGAGTCTGACCCTTCAAGGCTCCCTATGGCTCGGTGCACCCCAACACTCTAACCTTGGTGTGCAGACAGCTGTTGGAAAAGCATCACATTCAGAACGCAGTTGGAAAGCATTTGGCCAGTAACTTGGCCTACTCTCCGCAGCCTTTGAGTTCTATAGATGATTATATTTTTTGTAATATAGGTACTGGCTGTAGATTTTAACAGGCATTTAGCAGGGGACAGTTGGCGTGAGCTCTGTAGATGTTTAGTAAATGCATGCTCTCTTGCAGCTCCCTTCTGGCAGATCTGAATACAGATCTTGGAAAGCTGACTGTAGTTTTTAACAAACCTATAAACTCTGGGCTGAAATTTGCAGATGATTACTAAAGGTCTGCTTTAAAGGAAAACTTAACCATGGTTAGAGATGAATACATAACTGCACCACAAGTAATTTTTTGTGCTTTGTTGCTAAAACAAAAACCTATCATTTTTCAAATCATTCTAATGGGGATACTCTGACAGCGGCAACAGCTAACCTTCACAAATGGTATGTAATTGGCTTCCTGCTCTTCCCATCTGTTTTGATAATGGCGGGTAGCCTGTCCAAATCAGGATGTGATTGGAATCTGTGTCCCGAATAGCAGCGGGATACAACTGCAGTGCTAGTTTATTAGAATTTTTGCAATGAATGTAACGAACATGAAGAGGATTTGTTTTCCTCAATAAAAGTGGAGTGACACTAATGTGATGCTTTTCAGACTGGTGTTTCCAACCCAAGATTAAATTCAAAATGAACTTTGTATTTAAATTGGCTAAAAACATTCAGAGTGCATAAAAGAAAAAAATGGGTTCTATGTTTTGCAGTTTTTCCAAAGCAGCCCCAGTCTTAGTAGGAAAGGCTGTTCCCTGCTTGCAGCTATAAAATGGGACGCTTCCTCCCTCTGTGGGAGCAGTAGTCTCATTGCAGAGCAACAGCATGCCCTTCACTGAGTAAGCTCTTTAGCTCTGCAGTTGGCAAAGCTATGCTTCTCAGCAATTGGAAAGATCTGACTCAGCATAAGGCATGTTAAACCTCTGCAACGATCACTGCTTCCGTACAGGTAGCAAGGGTTACATTTTGCAGCATGCTGGCAAGGGACAGGCTTTTTTACTCAAGCTGCGGATGATATTTTAATTAACACAAACTAAGACTTTACACATCTTTTTGTTTTGATGCATCTGGATTGTATTTAGCGAATGAAAACTAAAAACTGCCGGACGTGTTTTAGCCACCTAGAGTATGTATTCACACCAGTGGCGTCCCGTGGCGGGTGCGCACCGCACAAGGTGACACCTATCGCACGGGGAGACACCAGACCCCCTCCACGAGCTCCATGAAAAGGAAAGTTTTAAAGTAAGCCGATGATCCCCGCAAGATGGATCGGATCTGCGGCTTGTGCATAATGAATCGGAGTCCGATCCGTTATGCTCCCCAATCTGCAGATCTGATCCATCTTGCGGGGATCGTCCGCTCGCTTTAAAACTTTCCTTTTCGTACAGCTTGTGCAGAGATCAGTTAACCCGTATAGGTTGCAAGCCGACAATCAACGCAGGATGGATCAGATCTGCGGATTAGGGAGCATAGTGGATCAGACTCCGATCCATTATGCTCAATCCGCAGATCCGATCCATCCTGCGGGGATCGTCGGAGGGGTGACACCAAGTGTTACCACACCGGTTGACACCAACCCTAGGGACGCCCCTGATTCACATCCAGGTCTTGCACAGCTGCTTTAAAGTGAATCTGATGTAACGTAAAACATCTCTAAGGTAACAGGGCTGAAGTTGTGTACCTTTTTTTGTGTTTAGCCTCCAATTTGATCCTTGTGGAGCCGCTTGCATTCTCGGCTTTTTACGGGGCCTTAGCCTCTGCCTAGGTTGAAACAGAGGCCTCTTCCCTCAAGTGCTAAACCTCAACTCTACCTGTACTTTTTAAGTTCCAGTGAGCAGTATAGACCCTGGCATTTTTAAACAGTCGAATGAAAGGGATGGGGCATATCTGAACCTAACATTCAAAGAGGCTCCAAAGGGTCACAGGCATTTATCTGAAGACTTAACAGCAGTTCTGGAAAAAAACTGCAAGGAGGGTTACACTAGGGAACTGTTATAATAAAGAAATGGTTTATTTTGAAGAAAGCCTGGACAATTTGCAGTCTTTTACACTATAATAGGAATTGGGGATTAATGTGGGACTGACACAGGTACATGCAGGCATTAAGGCACTGCGCTTGGGCACTGTCACTTTAGTAATATTTGGACCTGCTCTGGGTCAATTTTGATAAATAAGCACAGCAACCATAAATCACTCATGAAGTCTGCAAACAAAACAAAAAATAAATAAAATGTGGTTCTGGTTTGATGACAATAGCCATTGGACTTAGTTACTGAACTTGGCATGTTTTACTTTGCTATGCTAAGGTCTAGGTCTATGCTAAAACATTCCACTTTTTGTTCCCCTAGCAGCTATAATAAATATTTTAGGACTGGTAAGAATTCCAGAGCACAGGTAACGATGAATGCTGATGATGGATGACTTAGAAGGATAGTAGGAGTACTCAGCAGAAGGGGAGGCAGCAGCAAGGTTGAGTATGTGTTTAGGAAGGCATGGCCTTGAGCTACAAAGCTAATGTGGGCTGGTTTTAAGGGGGGAAATAATGACGGTTTGCAGATGAGATGGTTGACAGACAAGTGCAGTGTAGTGTGAGCTCCTGGGCCAAGACGACGCTAGCGCCCTCTCATTACCATCCTCACTTCCTGTTTTGTACAGTAGGGCACACCACTAGGCTCCAGTTGAATTCTGGGACTGTATATTGGTATTTGTGATGTAATGTTTCCTATGGTAAAACTGCAGTGTATTTAGTGTAAAGCCGTCTGCTTGCACCTTTGCTCAGATGAGAATTATATTCTCATTTTATGTATATTTTTTTTTTTCATTTTTTTTTTTTTTTTTTTGTTAACTAAAATGCAGTTTTTTTTGTGACTCTGTTCTGTGTCATGTTTTTTATTTGGAAATGGAATTAATTGGTCTGTAGTGTAGTAATGTCAGTGCACCCATAAACCACAACTTAATCGGAGCTCGTGTAAAAACCGTGCTACAATATTCTTTTTTAAATACTTTTGTTTTGCTAAGAGAGGTGTGGGGTAGGGTCTCCTGGTTTTTTTTTCTGGTAACAAGTAATGTGCTCAGATTGGGAACAACTGATGTTGGGTGCATCGGGCCTGTCGGTGGTCTAGTCCAGGGGTGGGCAACTGTGGCCCTCCAGCTGTTGTAGAACTACAAGTCCCATGAGGCATTGCAAAACTGACAGTTACAAGCATGACTCCCAAAGGCAGAGGCATGGTGGGATTTGTAGTTTACCAACAGCTGGAGGGCCACTGTTGCCCACCCCCTGGTCTAGCCACTTCAACAAAATAAATGATTTATTTTCCAATGAAGGGTACTGTTGCAGCATACAAAGACATTTTAGACCACAAGTGTCAGTTTGGCAACAGCTGGAGGAACGCCAGTTTAAGTCCCATGAGGCATTGCAAGATTGACAGTTACAAGCCTGACTCCCAAAGGCAGAGGCATGATGGGACTTGTAGTTTTGCAACAGCTGGAGGGCCTTTTTTTTTAGACTATTTTGAATTTCCAACCTTGCAGCAATCGTTTAGGGAAGTCCTCCACCCCCCTTCCCCCCTGTTCTAGCATGACTTTGGGAACTGGCTTTTGGCAAAGATATGCAAATACATGTTTTGAATAATCTGGTGTGGGGGGACTCCAGAGACTTGTACAGTTAAACACATTTAGTTTGAAATGCTGATTACATGCATGGTTTTCCAGTTCCCACTCTCACAAATGCTTTTTCTGTCTCCTACACTGAGGGTCACTGGGAGTCTATCACTTAGTTTAAAGCATGTGCCCTTCAGTCGCATTGATAATAAAGTTGCCAAGCCTCATGGCCCTTTAGGGCAGTCGTCTCTACATTGCAGCCCGATGTGGCCCTTTGCGTGCCTTTATGCAGCCCTTGGAGCACTATTCCTCCCACTGATACTAACAATGGGGTATTGTTTACGCCCATTGAGGACAAGACTTTTTCTAGTCTGAATACAATCTGTGTCCATTTGGCTACAGTCCAGCCCCCTAAAGTTTGAAGGGCAGTGAACTGGCCCTTTGTTAAGAAAGATTAGAGTTTCCTGCTCTAGGGGCATACCAAATAGAAGGGGAGTATAAGCGTCTTTCATGCAGTCGTAATACATAATGATGTGAGGTACAGTGCATCCAGAAGGTATTAACATTGCTTAACTTTTGCCACCTTTTATGTTACAGCCTTATTCCAAAATGGATTAAATTAATTTTTTTTCCTTAACATTTTACAAACAATACCCCATAATGACATTGTGAAAGAAGTTCATTTTGAAATCTTTGCAATTTATTAAAAATAAATGCAAAAAAACCCACATGTACATAAGTATTCACAGCCTTTGGCATGACACTCAAAATTGAGCTCTGGTGCAACCTATTCCCATTGACCATCTTTGAGATGTTTCCATAACTTGATTGGAGTCCATCTGTGGGAAATTCAGTTGATTGGACATGATTAGGAAAGGCATAAACCTGTCTATAGAAGGTCCAACAGTTAACAATGCATGTCAGAGCACAAACCAAGCCATGAAGTCCAAGGAACTTAGACCTCTGAGACAGGACTGTATGAAGGCACAGGTCTGGGAGAGGGTACAGAAAAATTTCTGCAGCATTGAAGGTCCCAGTGAGCACCGTGGCCTCCATCATCCGTAAATGAGCAATTGATGGAGATGGGCCTTAGCCAGAGAGGTAACCAAGCACCCGATGGTCACTCTGAAAGAGCTCCAGCGTTCTCTGTGGAGAGAGGAGAGCCTTCCGAAGAACAACCATCTCTACCATACAGGCCTGATTAGTGGAGTGCAGCAGAAGGGCCAGACGAAGGCCACTCCTCCAGTAAAAGGCAAATGGCAGCCCCGCCTGGAGTTTGCTGAAATGCAGCTGAGGGATTCGCTGACCATGAGAAACCAAAACTGTCTGGTCTGATGAAAGAAAGATTGAACTCTTTGGCCTGAATGCCAAGCGTCATCTCTGGAGGAAACCAAGCACCGCTCACTACCTGGCCAATACCATCCCTACAGTGAAGTATGGTGGTGGCAGCATCATGCTGTGGGGATGTTTTTCAGTGGCAGGAACTGGGAGACTAGTCAGGATCAAAGGAAAGATGAATGCAGCAATGTACAGAGACATCCTTGATGAAAACCTGTTCGAGTGCTCTGGACCTTAGGCTGGGGCGACGGTTCATCTTTCAACAGGACAACGACCCTAAACCCACATAACAAAGCAGTGTCTAGGACCAACTCTGTGAATGTCCTGGAGTGGCCCAGACTTGAACCCGATTGAACATCGCTGGAGAGATCTGAAAATGGCTGTGCACTGACTCTCCCCACCCAACCTGATGAAGCTTGAGAGGTACTGCAAAGAAGAATGGGAGAAATTGCCCAAAAATAGGTATGCCAAGCTTGTAGCATCATACTCAAAAGGACTTGAGGCTGTAATTGGTGCTAAAGGTGCTTCAACAAAGTATTGAGCAAAGGCTGTGAATACTTATGTACATGTGGGTTTTTTTGTCTTTTTATTTTTAATTAATTGCAAATATTTTAAAACTAACTTCTTTCATGTTGTCATTATGGGGTTTTTATAGCATGTTGAGGAAAAAATTAATGTAATCCATTTTGGAATAAGGCTGTAACATAACAAAATGTGGCGCTGTGAATACATTCTGGATGCGCTGTAGGTGGGCTTGTGCTATGTCATCTTGGCTGAACAAGATTTCCTGATCCCCTTCTAGCCAAATCCTGTGCACATCAGTGGAGCAGGTAAAATGGAAGAAGAGCAGAGCTGCTGTAAGAGTATATTTTCCTGTAGTGCAGCTTTAATCTCACACATTGCTATTATGTTTAGTCCCATGCTTAGGTACACTCACAAACCAGAAAGTACATCACTATTTTTCAGGAGGTGTTCCAGGCAAAAGGTGCACTTTTTTGGGTCCTGTTTATGCACAATTCAAAACCTCCTTTTGAGTTTTTAGTTTTACTCAACTAAACCCTGGGTTGCAAAACAGGTTGACATTGCCCAGCTTGTTCAAAATGCTCTTTCAGCTGTCTTTTGTCTCAGTAACTGGAGAGGAAAGGAGAGCTGCTAATCGTTAATCCTCAGAGGGAACATCTACACTGATCATCAGTGCCCATCCCTGCTCCCCCATCAACGCACATCATTGAAGGAGAAAAATTTTATAGCAGAAACTGTCAGAACTTTAGCTCTGAGAAAATAAGCAATATATAATTTATGAAAACAGGCGGGGATCTGAAATTAAGAAGATTCCCTACTAATTGTTTTTTGGTGCTGCTTTGAAGATGAAATAAAAAGCAATAATGTGCAAAAAATATTTTTTTTCCTTTAAATTACGAAATCAATGCAAAATGGTAATTAACTATAATACGTGATAGCTAATAAACAATTCAGAATAGCAGTACAATGATCTAATTAAAAATAATAGTTAGGAATTTGAACCAGCAATTATTTTCAAATATTAAATTGAAATCAACTGTCTAGAAATGCAGTGTAGGAAACTATCGGTAACGCAGTAGCGTTCAACAAAGGCTATGCAAATTAACCACATGATCTCTCTACAACCCAATCTTCAAAGCTCAATATGTACCTTGGCATGAATTGATTTAGAATACCATACACAGGCTAATCCAATAAGCTGACAATCGGGTCAAGATCAAATGTTCCACAAAGTTGTCTACATTGTCATATATACTAAGCTAAACCATTAACTAGAATCTGAAATTTAGCTCTGGGGATATTTTAAGAGAATCCTCCCCCCAGAGAACTGAAATGAAAATAATTTAAACTGCAGTTAAAATAATTTCTCATCAACTCCGATGCTTAACATAACAGTTATCAGACTAAGCGGTTTAGCTGGAGATCTAAGGCTAGTACAAACTGCTTCCAGAAAAATTAAAAGTTATATGTTACTGATATTTTCTATATCAGTGATGTCAGTTCTTGGCCAACTTGTGTCTGTGTCTCCTTCTGTTGTTTTCTTGTCCCGTCTTCTCTCTGTCCTAACTATCCCCAAAAAAACCTAGGCAGGCACAGCTTATCTCGCATAATTATGATGTCACTCTAGGTGTCATTGTTCTTTTCGAACTACCTGAAGGGGGCAGTATAGGATTAGGAGTAATTTTGGATTGCTTCTAATGCCTCCTGTGTCATGTCAAGAGCTGACCTTTTATCCTATGTTAAATGAAATAAACTTAAGAGGTAAGCACTCTTTTGACAGAACTGGTTAGACAGACTGAGACCCGTGTCACTGAAAATAATGTATTACCTAAGTCAGGGGTAGGCAACCTGAGTGCCGCAGGACTACAAGTTCCTTCATGCCTCTGCAAGTCATAGCTGCAACTGTCAGTTTTGAAATCTTTGCAATGCCTCATGAGAAATGTAGTTCCACAACAGCTAGAGAGCCACAGGTTGCCTACCCCTGACCTAAGTGATTCTGGAGAGAGAGCGAAAAATTCTACCTTTTTAAAGACATTCATGAGGTCATTTGTACTGAGACTTCTTAATTATCGAACTTATTCTGTAGCATACAGATGTTGTAAAATAATACTCTCAAAAATAATTATTTATAACCTTGAAAACATATACCAATATGTGTTGTTAAAAAACAATTAATACAGATAAAATATTATGTACAGTGCTTTGCAAAAGTATTCATACCCCTTGACATTTTCCACATTGTCATGTTACAATCATAAATGTAAATGTATTTTATTGGGATTTGATGGGATAGACCAACACAAAGTGGCACATAATTGTAAAATGGAAGGAAAATGATAAATGGGTTTTAAAAATTTTTTACAAATATGTGAAAAGTGTGACGGCAATTGTATTCAGCTCCGCGAGTCAGTACTTTGTAGGACCCCCTTTCTCTGAATTTATAGCTGCAAGTCTTTTTGGGGATGTCTCTGCCTGCTTTGCACATCTAGAGAGGGACGATTCTGCCCATTCTTCTTTGCAGAATAGCTCAAGCTCTGTCAGATTGGATGGAGAGCGTCTGTGAACAGCAATGTTCAATTCTTGCCACAAATCCTCAAGTGGATTTAAGTCTGGACTGTGACTGGGCCATTCTAAGACATGAATATGCTTTGACCTAAACCATTGCATTGTAGCTCTGGCTGTATGTTTAGGGTCGTTGTCCTGCTAGAAGATGAATCTCCGCCCCGGTCTCAAGTCTTTTGCAGACTCTAACAGGTTTTCTTCTAATATCGTCCTGTATTTGGCTCCATCCATCTTCCCATCAACTCTGACCAGCTTCCCT